TAGTAGGCAAGGGAAACCAATATTCATAAGACAGTCAAGCATTTTAATATTAGTTCCCATCGTCAAACTATGCCTAGATCCCTGTATCACAGAGCCATTGTTCCAAGATTAAGTATGCATCACTATTTACCTCTGTCCCACTTAGGCCATGCAAACCTGTCTCAGTATTCTCCTATCTATCTTGTTCTTCCGCCTCCTCCCCTCTTCTTGTATTGCCCTCCCCAACACATGAACTAAACCCCCCACCTCAACCCCAGTGTTGCGGTTACCTTATATTCCATGAACTTTTCCCTCCATTTAAGACAGTCTATTTTATCCTGTAATCTACCTGATCTTCTCACCACCTGGATCTCTGTTCCTCTATGTTTACCTTCTTTCACATTGTAATTGTTTTGATCATAGACTGACCTCCCAGATCCTCTGTTTTTATAATAATTTTATTCTGTTCTTGACTCTTTCATTTGTCGACTGAGTTCAGGTTGATGCTGTCATGTACGTCATTCTGTAGTTGTTATGTGTTCTTGTTGGTTCTCAGTCCACAGAACTTTCTTTAGGATGTTTTTCATAGCAGGGTTGGCTTTTGCAAAATCCCTTAGCTTTTGTTTATCCTGGAATGTTTTGATTACACTTTCATATTTGATTGACAGCTTTTCTGGGTAGAGGATTCTTGGTTTGCAGTTTTTTTTCTTTCAGGGTTTATATATGCCTCCCCATTGCCTTCTTGCCTGCATGGTTTCTGTTGAGAGATCCGAGCTTAGTCTGATTTGCTTGCCTTTGTACATTACACTTGTTTTTTCCCTAGCTGCTTTCAGGATTCTGTCTCTATCTTTGATTTTGGAGAGCTTGATTATTATATGTCTTTGGATTTTCTTTTAGGGTCTATCCTTCTTGGGGTCCATTGAGCTTCTAGAATGCTTATCTTTTCACTTTTCAGGATGTTAGGAAAATTATCTTCCAGAAGCTATCTCCTCTGTGAACTTGTGTGATTCTTCCTGTTCTGGAATGCTGATAATTCTCAAGTTATTCCTCTTCATGTTGTCCAACATTAATCTTAGACCTTCTTCAGATTTTTTTAATCCTTTTTTTGTGCTTGCTCTTTTACCATAGTAGTGTTGAGAGATTTATCTTCTAGCTCACTAACTCTGGCTTCTACCTCTTCAGTTCTACTCCTTTGCACTTTCAGTGTATTGTCCATTTCTGATAGTCTATTATTAATCATTTGGCCCTCTAGGTTTTGAATTGTTTCCAATGCTATATCTATCTTATTTGATTGTTCCTGTAGCACTTTCCCAACTTCTTCCTTATTTTTCTCAACTACATTGTATAGTGTTTTGGTACATTTTATAGTCATTTTTTTCTGAATTCCTTCTCAGGCATTTCCAATGCCTGCCCATCTTCCAGTATGGAATGCAGTCTACTTCCAGCTCATTTGCCTCAGTCACTTTATATCATTTCTGGACATGTGCTGATATGGTAATTTGTTTCTGTTTTTTAGGCATATTCAGGAGTTATCTGTGGCCTAAATACTTAGATGGGTGTGTATATTGTTATTTTTTATGCTTTTTTATTGCCTCTGGGTAGATGTGATCAGGAAATGGGCTTCTCTTTTCACTCTTTTTCCTGAGAAATTTCAAGATGCCACTGTTGGTCATTGTAAAGTAACTCAGGATTTAATTTTCAACCTATTTCCTTTTTAGTCTGCCTGTCCCATTCCACAACCCCCATTCAGACCTTTTTCCTACTAATAAACACTTCTGGGCTGGCTGTGGTCATTTTGCACTGCCATTTGATTTTAAGTGGAAAGTGTGCCTTTAAATTTCATGGAGATCTGTGCACATGCATAGGCATAGGGGTGGGGGTAGAGTGTCCACTCACTCAGGCACCCCCTCTAGTCACCAGAATGGAGCTGCACAGACGGTGAGAGACCAATGAACAGATATTTTTTTTTTAAAAGAATGTCCACACTTTTATCTCCATGGTTCTGTCAGGCGTCGGTGGCTGATCTTTCCCCACTTGGTCTCACCCAAGATGGTGGCTCTGAGAGCACCTGAGGGCCTTTGATTAGAAAACACTGGATTTATTGCTTCTGCTACAAATTGCCCTAGCTGTAAGCCTTCCAACCTTCTAAATATTCCTTTATATGTGGTTCAGTAGTGTAGTGGTTACGAATCGGGCTGCGAACCGCTAAGTCAGCACTTTGAAACTACCAGCTGTTCCACAGGAGAAAGATGAGGCTTTCTGCTCCCATAAAGATTTACAGCCTCGGAAACCCTGTACAGGGTCACTATGAGTCGGAACTGACTCCATGGCATGTAACAAAATGTGGTTCAGTTTAAGACCATTCCCTGAGCCTGCTTGGTCCAGTATTCTGTGTTGTTGCTAACTGAGCTCCTCACTGCACTTCCACCCTCCACGCCATCTTGTTTGTTTTCCCCTCACCTCTTTGCTTTTCTTTTTTGTGTTATCACCCTTGTCTATTTCTGTATGTAATTTTTATTTTGTCTGTTTTGAAAAAAAATTATTTTCTGGAACTTTGTTCTTCAAATCTTGCTTCTTTCTTTCAACATTATTGTTTTGAATTGAATTATGTCCCCCAAAATGTGTGTTAAAAACCCTAACCTCTATGCCAGTTGCTGGGTCCTGATGTGTTGCTGTAGTTTTATGTGCTAGACTTCAAGGTGGGTTTGGAACCACAGTGTTGGCAGTTGAAGCTCACCAGTCACTCATGGGAAGTCTTATACAGGGCCAGACTTGAAAGGGCACAGCAATAACAACATGCCAATGGTTATAATCCCAACTTGGAAGGGATTTTCTTTGTTATGTTAATGAGACAGGATTAGTACAGGGTATGTTTTGAGTCTATCTCTTTTGAGATATAAAACAGATTAAAACAAACAGTTGAGATAAGGAAATAAGGAAAGACTGATTCAAAACAACATGGAGGTCACCAAGAAACCAGGGAGAAATTCTATTTTCCATGACTTTATGGAGCCCCTTGTGTGTGTGTACATCTGTATGCACATATGTTGTTGTTAAGTGCCTTCAAGTTGGTTCTGACTCATAGCGAGCCTGTATAGGGTTTCCAATGTGCTCATATAAATGTGGTGGTTATGTGCCATGGAATTGGTTCCAACTCATAGTAACCCTGTATAGGGTTTCTGAGGCTATAAATCTTTACAGGAGCAGAAAGCCTCATCTTTCTTCCACAGAACGGCTGGTAGTTTTGAACTACTGACCTTGAGGTTAGCAGCCTGACTTGTAACCACTACTCTACTAGAGCTCCTTATATATGGATGTAGTTCTATATGTAACTGTATACAGATGTATGTATGTGCATGCATGCATGCATGTGTATTTATATGTATAATAAGCCCTAGTACCAGCATTCTGGATTTGTACTTGTTGTTGTTGTTGTTAAGGGCTGGCGAGTCAGTTCTGACTTACAGCGACTGATGAACATGAACCATCGACCTTGCAGTTCAAATGGACTTTACAGTTCAGTGCATTAATTCACAGTGCCACACCACTCCTGTAACCTCCTAAACTGTGAGAAAATATATTTGTTTGTTAAGGCCATCTGCTTGTGATGTTTCTATTATATCCATTGCATGAATATACCACAATTTAAAAAAATCCATTCTACTGTGGTGGTCATCGGATTGTTTCTAGTTTTGAGTTCTTATAAACAGAGCTATTTATACAAGTATCATGGTCACAATTAATACATTTCTTTTGGGTATAATTAGGAGTGGAGTCATAAAGTGTCTTCATTATTGATTAATACTGAATGAGAGTCTCTCGTGTTCTACATCCTCACCCACATTTAGTATTGTCTCTCAACCTTTTTTTTTTTTTTTTTAATCTCTGTTCCTAGAATATTATCTTTAACTAAGATAGAAAAATAAGTCAACCTGTTTCCCAGATGACTTGTGTATTAATTTCCTAGGCTAATGTAAAAAAAATATCACAAAGTAAATGGTTTGTAAGAACAGAAATGTGTTGTCTCACTCTTCTAGAGGCTAGAAATCTGAATTTAGGGCATCACTAGCTTTGTGTTCTCTTAGCTTCTCTCCCAGCTTCTGGTAACTCCCAGTGTTTCTTGGCCTATACATGCATCTTCACATGTCTGTCTTTCACTGTCTCTGTCTTTGTATCTCATCTCCTCTTTTATAAAGACATCAGTCAGATATGACCTCATGCTAACTGATAACATCTTCAAAGACCTGATTTCCAACAAGGTCATGTTCACAGGTATAAGGGGTTAAGACTACAACATAAATTTGAGGGGACCACCAGCTGCTCCTTGGAAACCCTGTACATGGTTGCTATGAGTAGGAACAGATTTGGCGGCACTTAACAACAACAATATAATTCATAACAATTTGTAATAAAGGACATCTCATGTGTGTCACTCTACTGCAAGCATGTCCATAAGGTTATGAGCAATGCCTAAGTGAGAATACCAAAACCTTAAATTACTTCTGACTGATGTAAATATAATAAGAATTCTTGGGCTTTGGTAACTTTATTATTGAAAAAACAAACAAAACAAAACACAACAACACACACACATAAATTTTTTTTTACATGATTATTATTACACTGTTGTGTTCTGATGGCCTTGTTAAGAACCACTGTCTTTTTTAGCTGAGAACCTGTATGTTGCTAGAACCTTTAAGTTTGAGTGTATTGAGCATCTCTTTACCCCAAAGCCATGACCATCCAATATCTCTATTAAAGCTTGTCCCTTACAAACACCACCAGCAAGGGGGCAAAGAGATCAATAATGTTCCCAATAATGCTCCCATGGTACAGCTCCAGTGATCCCGCC